TGCAATGGCTCGATCTCGGCTCACCGCAACCTCTGCCTCCTGGGTTCAGGCAATTCTCCTGCCTCAGCCTCCTGAGTAGCTGGGATTACAGGCACGCGCCACCATGCCCAGCTAATTTTTTGTATTTTTAGTAGAGACGGGGTTTCACCATGTTGACCAGGATGGTCTCGATCTCTCGACCTCGTGATCCACCCGCCTCGGCCTCCCAAAGTGCTGGGATTACAGGCTTGAGCCACCGCGCCCGGCCTCTCTAAATCTTTTTTCTTACCACATCACAGTGTGATGAATGAATATGCGAAAAGTATTTTATAATATGCATAAAGAGTTGATTTTAAGTACATATTTAACAGCAAATATTTGAGTTTTGCCCTGGAAGGGCAAAACTATTAACTTTTCTGTTATTGTTTGTATGCTGAGCCATATTTGTGTTTTGGTTCTATCTTAATGACCCCTTACTGTTTATTTGAAATCCATGACAGCTATGACATTATCTAATTAACCCTGTGGTTTTTCCTTTGTGGGATTGGACTTGGAATAAGGGTTTTAATGCTGATTGTTATTTACTGCCATATAATAGAAAGCTGACAAATATTAACCAGTACTCCTCTTGAAGGATGCATAATAGGGTCAGAAAAGAGTTAGATGAAGACTTAGGAAGGCAAAGTAATTCCTAATGCTCTGAAAAAATTTCCAGAAAGGATATAGATGGAACCTGTTTAGTCATCTATGTTCTCTTACTGAAATTCTAACTTTTAAACTGGCAAATAATAAGGATACTGCTATAACTTGATTGAGGAGTCAGAAGTGGATGACAAATTAGGTTGCTCAGTCCAGGACCTAGAAGCTCACGGCAAGCAGACTGGAAATGTCCACACTTGTAAATGTCAAATTTGTTGACATTAACAAGTTGACATTAACTTGTTGTTAATGTAAGCAATTGCCAGCTCCACCTCATGGTAAGTATTATGTCATCATTCTCCCTCTACTCAAATTCTCCTTCCAACTGTTCTGATATTCACTCAGACTACAGCCTTTTTCAGCAAATTAATACTGCCTTCTACAACTAATTAGTTATTGATAACTGATTTTCTTCTATTTTGATGGGATACTCCCCTGTGACTCTATTAATGTATTTCAAATTATACTGAGATTTTTTTGTGAGATAAGGTCCTCCCATTAGCTTGCCATTCCCAAAGACTTCTGTTTCTAGTACTCAGTGCCCACTAACTCTCAAATGTCTTTTTAGTTCTAATAGCCAAACTCCTGATCAGATATTTTCCATTTTTTCCTATTCTGTTTTTTCCTAATATTTGAATTTGTCATAATTAACTTTTCTAATGTTAAACATCTATATAAAGGGATTTCTTTGGGTCCTCAACAGAAGACTACTAGCACGAGGAAAGAACTTTGGAATAAGATTGATATTACTCCAAATTCTTGTTTCAAAACGTACAAAATGTATTATATTGGGCTTATTACTTAACCTTGCTTTGCTTCAGTTTAAAATAAATGAAAAATTTTAAATACAATTCCAGCTCATAGTAGATGGTCTCCTCAAAGAATGTTGAATTTGATGAACATACTGTCATGGGCTAAATTATGTCCTCCCAAAATTCATATGTCAAAGCCCTAACCTTCAATACCTCAGAATGGAAGCATATTTGGAGATAGGATATTTAAAGAGGTGATTAAGCTACAATGAGGCCATTAAGGTAGACTCTGATACAGTCTGACCGGTAGCCTTATAAGAAGTCAAAATTTAGGCACATGGAGAATGTGCCTAATGTTCACCAGGGATGTGAGCCCAAAGAGAGAAGACCATGAAAGGCCACAGAGGTGGCCATCTGCAAGCCATTGAGAGAAGCCTCAGAAGAAACCAAACCTGCTGACGCCTTGATCTTGGATTTCTAGCTTCCCAAACTGTTCCTGTTGTTTAAGACACTCAGTTTATGGCATTTTGTTATGGCAATCCTGGAAGACTAATACACATATATTCACCATTTTAGGTGGAGAATTGATCCTCTGCTGTTTTTTAATTCTAGTTTCTATTTAATCTTCCAACCAGTATTAAATAATAAAGCACTGATTAAGAGCATGATCTTAGAAGTTTTACAGCTTTGAATTTGAAGACTATATTATCCACCTAAGTTACCTTGGTAAATTTGTTAAATATTTCTGAACCCCAAATTTCCTCATTCATAAACTGGGGAGACAATACCTATCTTATAGAGTTACAATAAGGATCAAATTAAAAGAGATGTATGTAAAGTTCATAGTACCATGTTTGATATATAGGTGCTAAATAACTGGTAGAATTATTATCTTTATATACAATGGATTATTCACATATGGTTTTGTCAATTTAGCTTAGTTTTCTCTAAGCCTAGCCAGTTAAACATTCTTCTCTGTGTGAAGTGCCACACATGTACGTACTTTCTACAATTATTTATTTTGTGAGTGTGGAAAGGTAGCCTCAGCTTCACAGTCTAAGCATCCTAGTGATCATATTTTTTTTAGGCTTCCAAAATTTATTTGGAAACATTCATACATTTTCACTTGGCTTTTCTCCCACTTCCTATACCTATTTATTGTCCCATCTGAAGAGATATCTACTTTGTCATCTCTTTTTAATTCAGGCAGTCCATTGAATTCTCTCCAGGGTCCTCAAGAAGGATCTCCATCAATCTTTTGTGTACTTTTTTCCTCAGCTCTCCCCCAATTTTTAGAATAAAAACCATCATTTAGTTTGTGATAATCAGTTTAAAAGGTTTTGTTTACAAACATTACATCTCACTTTGCTGAATTGCTGAATTGGGGCTATTTTCCTTCTTCAATCCATCAAAATATCAAACCACTACTTTCTATAGGTTTGTTTTCATTTATTAGACAATTAGGGAGTTGCAGATAGACTTGTTGCTGAAGGGAAGAAGGGCATCTAAATCAATTATTCTCAACAGTACAATCCACCAAGAGTTAGACCAAACTCCCCCCATTCCCCTTTCAGCAGTCCACCACCTTAACTACTCGGCCACTTTATTACAACTCTCGTTGCCTCTGTTTTTAAAAAGAAAAGACAGACATAAAACAAGAAAAGCAAACTTTTTAGCCTTAACTGGCAACCATACTTTTAGGTGAGCAATGGGCCGGGAAGAAGAGAAGAAAAAAGGTGAAAAAGAGTAAAAAGATACCTGTTGTTAGGAACCCAACATAGAATTTGGAATCCTATCATGATCTAGTTTGTGTCAGACATAGCATTTGTTTCCACCATTATTTTTACCCCTTTCAAACATTATGTAATTGGGTACCAACTTATATATCTTTAATAAAAAACATTAATAAACCAACTCTTCAAAACGCTTTCAGTGATTTTTTTTTTTTTTTTTTTGAGACAGAGTTTCGCTCTTGTTTCCCAGGCTAGAGTGCGATGGCGCGATCTCTGCTCACCGCAACCTCCACCTCCTGGGTTCAGGCAATTCTCCTGCCTCAGCCTCCTGAGTAGCTGGGACCACAGGCATGCGCCACCATGCCCAGCTAATTTTTGTATTTTTAGTGGAGACGGGGTTTCACCGTGTTGACCAGGACGGTCTCGATCTCTTGACCTCGTGATCCGCCCGCCTCGGCCTCCCAAAGTGCTGGGATTTCAGTGATTATTTTAAGTGAAATATTGTGTCTGGTGCTAACCAATCTGGGAGAAATATACAATTCCATGGTTACCTTCAAGAAGGTTACTGTCTAGCTGTGGCAGTGAGAGACTACCAGCAGTATAGAGAGTCCCAAAAGGAATGAAATAGTCATTCAGGACAGCAAGATTAAACACTGAGCTGAGGATCTGAAAAACAGTTCTATTTCATCTCATCATCCTTCAAGTCTCATGCTTCCTCCTTCCCACTCTCTTGATTGAAAGAGACAGAGAGAAGAGAAGAGGTGAAAAAGAAAAAGAAGAAAAGAAAAACGAGGTCATTCTAGGTTTGTAAGATGTAAGACAATATTTGGACAATATTAAGACATCTGTGGCGATGCCCAAATTGAAGTCTCAGTTAGCTGTGGCCCGCCAAACTGCCCTTCATTTCGCAAAGACGTCAGGGTCCAAATTTTCCCCAGGGATGTGAGGGAATAGCAGGTCAGGGCTCAGAACCAAATCTATCCTGATACATTTTTTTTTCCTGCAGTGAATAATGCATCCTTCAAAATGATTATTGTGACTCACAGAAAGAGCTTAAATATATTCTTGATAGTTTGCAAAGTGAGAAGTGTTTCTTTGAAGAAATTAAATAAATATTTTCGTATATGTGAGGATGAGGGGGAAGGAGTAATTCTACTTATTAGAGAGAGCAATCAATTCCTTAGGTTCTAGAAGTCTATATATTCTGAAACTATTGAAATACAATTCTCTCTGGCACATACGAACAATTAAGCATTCGGTAACAGCAGGGGTTAATCACAGATACAGGTTTAGTGCAGGTAGCAGGGGAGTGACGGGAGCCAGATAGATGCACCTGAAGAGAGGAAAGAGGCTCGCGAAAGTGAAAAGCTGCTAAACAGTTGCCCAGTTCACCATACTGTCCAGAGCCATACCTAAGATAAGCAACCCTCCCCGCAGCCTCAGACTCCAGGCGCCCAAATTCGCACGAGGCATTCTATTGACTCACACCTGCGTCCTTCAACAGGTAAAACCAATTACAGCCCGCAGAGCACGACCCCCAGCATACTGGTCAATACAGCTGTCAATCAAATATCTCACCTACTTTTCTAAATTCTCCCCTCCCACTGTCATTGGCTTTACCTTCGGCCTATCCACAGATTTCTTCCGCCCTAGAGACCACGGAACTTGCCCTATCGAATCTAGGATTGGCGCCGAAGCTACTCCCGCCCTTCGACGTCCCCGGGCACTCCGCCCCCTTCGCCGCCAGGCTTGGCTGGGGAAGAAGCGGGGCGGGGCGAGCGAAGGGCCGGCCAGAGGGCGGGGCCTGCCTCCCACGGCGGGAAGGCGGAGCCTGCGCTAGAGCCTGCCTGGTCGGTTAGGACCTCGGAGAGCGCCAGGCGCCGCGACCAGAGGGATTGGAGACGTGGCCGGAGCCCGGCCGGACCCACGCCTGTGAGCCCGCCTCCCTCCGCGTCCTAGGCTTCCCGGGCTGGCAGGCGGCGAGTGGCGTCTGAAGAAGGTGCCTAAGTCCTGGGTCAGATAGTCATCCCTGTGGGACTCAGCCGCCGTCCGGCTGTGGCTCCCTCGCACCTGTGTGTGTGTGAGAGCGAGGAGAGAGAGGAGAACGAGCGCACCTGCGCGCGAATGCCGGTGTGAGGGTGTTTGTGTGTGTTCCGGCTGGGCGCGCGAATGCTCGGTGTAAGGTGTTTGTTTGCGCGCCGGCGGGCCGGAGCCCGGCACCTCAGCGTTCGGGCCGGGGGAGGCACAGCGGGAGCGGCGGCTCTGAGCGCCCAGCAGGCTGAGGCGGGACTTGGGCCGCAGTAGTCGCAGCCAACGGTTCACTTCCCTCGAGAGTGGCCGTCGTGCCGCGGGGAGAGCGGACGGCGGGCGGGCTAGGAGGCGGTAGAGCGCGGTGGCGGCTGCGGGCAGAGGTGGAGGGAGAGGAGCAGGAGGTGGGGAGAAGGGGGAAAGAGGACGCAGGGAGGGAGGTGAGGGGGAGGCGGAGGGACAAGTGGAAGCAGACGGCGTCGCTGTTCGCCCCTCCCCCCCGCAGCTGTTGCTGTGGGTCACTCGCAGATGTTTTGGGGTCCGAGCTGCTGGGGGATGGGGAATAGAAAAAGTCCCCCCCCCACATACCCCCCTCCCCCCTCCTTTCCTATTGACAAAAAAGGAAGCGTTGAAGATGATGGGAGAAGAGCCCGGAAGGTGGTGGCAGAGTAAATACCGGCTCCCCCAACATCATTTTTCTGAAAATAAAATATTCTGAGCTGAACGTTTCGAAGAAGGAAAGCCCGCCCTTAAGAGAGAGACGGAGTCTTGGTCTGTTGGGCTCTGGTTTGATTGTATAATAATGATGATATAATGCTAATGACGATGATGACACTGCCTTTTATTTTTACCTCAGTGCTGATAAAGCGTAGCTACAGCTGGGGATACAGTCCTTGAAAATCTGATGTATGAGGAGGGAATACTGTTGCTTTTGGAGTTGTGTTATATTTATCCTCTTTAAAAGGATATGCTTTTTAGAATCAAAATTTGACAAAACGAAGCCTCTTTTTTCAGGTCGGTTATAACCAAGGCTCATAAAATGGGGACTGACTTGACTAATGAAAAGAGAAAGGCTTTTACCAAGGTCTAATTCCATGTGTTAAGTCACCTTTTCCTTTTTCCTTTGAATTTCTCAACAGTGTGTAAAATGAAGAAGTTTAATTTCCGAAAAGTTTTGGATGGCTTAACTGCCTCCTCCCCTGGCAGTGGTAGCAGCAGTGGCAGTAACAGTGGTGGTGGGGCTGGAAGTGGTTCCGTACATCCAGCAGGGACTGCAGGGGTTCTCAGAGAGGAAATTCAGGAAACCCTGACTTCGGAGTATTTTCAGATTTGCAAGGTAAGTTTTGAATTGGCTTAAAGCCTAGTATTTCTTTATTATACTGTTATGAGGAAACAAGCGGGGAAAACACACCAGGGACTGGAAACTGTTGAGATGCCAGCATCAGAGTCTGGTGCAGCAAGCTCTGTGGGTAGATCAGTTTGAATTAATAGATATTTCAGGCATCAACTTAAAAAGCAATGATAGTTTAAGGGGGAAATTAGCACACACAAAAAGTAGAATTTGCAAGACAATGTTAAGACCCAATAGTGAACAAAATTTTTAATATTTGTGTATTACATTAACTGAAGAAGAAAATAGTCATTTGGTTTTCTGTGTTGTCAGAGAAAATAATTGTTATTTCACTGTTCAGTATGAAATGAATAAAGCTACTAACATGTTGCTAGAATTAAGTAGATAATAGGAAAATATGTGTTTTAAGGGGGCCAATGACATTGCTTTAAAATTCTGAATAAAAACACTTCCATGTTCTTGAACTCTTCATAAATAAATAGACAAATACACAGGCTTGTAAGAACTTGTTATACTTGTAAGAACTCAAAAATAGCCTGTGTTCTGGTTTAGTGAGAAAACATTTTATGTAATTATACTTTGATATCGAACTTCTAATGAATATGCAAAAGAGAGTTTCTGATACATAGAGATGAGAATTTATAAAACAAGCATTAGGTTAATGTACAGAGATGTTGTGAATGTTATAGTCATTATATTTTATGACATAAGCTGATTTATGATTTTATTGCCCTTTTTTGAGTTGTCTTGGAATGTGCCTATTATATGCAACAAAAGCTACTAAGTTATTTGTGTAATATAAATAAATATACTTTTGTAAATGTGTTTGGCTACATAAAAAGAAATAGAAAGCTTGCAAAATTACAGAAATTAACAATGTTTAAAATGCTTTCACAAAAGTTTTTTTGAAATTATCAAAATTAGTTTTGTGGTAAACAAGTGATAATATGTATAAAGAGATAAATTTCAATCACTGCCTCAGTCTGTATTCCTAGCGGGGTCATTATACAAACATTAAATCTACAGTTATTAGTTTACATAAAAGCAAGTTTATTTAGAGTTAAGTTAGATAAACAGATTTAACTCTAAACTACTTTGTGAAATTTGTGTAATGATTTTTTTTTCCTCAATAGGAAATAACAGATATTCTGTTAAATTAGGGAAGGGCTTAATAGCAGTTATGAGACAAATGTTAAAGAGTCTTGGAGGTCAAATTTGAACTGTTAAGGCAGGGGAATTATGCCCTGATTTTCTAATCTTCATTGTATTTGTAATTTTTGTGATCAGATTCTGAAATATTTTTCCAAATTCTCTCAATTCATGTATATGATAGTGATATAGGATAATTTTACTATAGGTAAAATTGGTATAGAAAAGATAGACTTCTGAAGCAGAATGGCATTGGGCTGCTGAGGTTATAAAGCTTGTAGAGAGGTTTTAAATAAAAAACTTCAAGGAAATGGGTGAATTCAAGAGAGAAGGGAATACATAGTTATCTTCCTATTTATTCAGGCAAGAGATATTCATAGGAAGTGGCAGAAGTTAAATACATACAACTTTAAAAACATATGGCATGATAGGAAGACCATTGGCCTAGGAATCAGAAAATTTGGGTTTTATTTAAAATTCTGCTATTTAATAGCCATATAATCTTGGGGAAGCCATTTGTCTCCCTTGAGCCTTGATTTCTGCATCTGTAGTATGAGAATAAGCCTATTTGCTCTCCCTAACTAAAAGAGGGTTATTGGGAAGATCAGACAAGACAAGATGAAGGCAATGCCTAAATGGAAAGGATGATAAATTATCTATTAATATTGCTAAAGTTTCTAAAATCACCTGTTTATAGTGGAATGAATGTAACTTGTGGGTTATAATAATATTAGTTTATGATTTTCAAATAAATTATAAGATAGATAGCTATATAAGTTGTCCACTAATACTACTGAAGTCTTACTAAATGTGGAAAATACTATAGCATCTTTGGATAGGAACATAGTTAATTTTTAAAAGTAGTTATATGGCTGTATTATAGTTAACTGGCCTATAACAAAATATATAAAAATGAACTAAGAATGAACTATCCTGAGAGCATAAGGGTATAGGGGCAGGTTTGAGTAAAGGATGATAGATGAGTAGAAAGTATGTTTATAAATTTTTGAAGTTCCCTAAAGGGCAATCACATTTTCTCACAAAAAGTCATTTGGTGCTAGTATTTGTTAGAAAATTGGGTTGTTGGTCTTGTGTAGTATGGTGATTCTTACGTTCTTAAAAACAAATAGTGTGGTCATACTTCATGTATTTCTGATATAGAGCTAATTTAAAATCGTAACATAATTTCCAAGTATGTTTATCTGTAGAATCATTATCAGTGAGTAAACCAGATTTCTGTTTCTTAAAGTTTAGTGCATTTCGGTAGATATTTTTCTGCCCTCACTTGAAAATGTTCCTGTGAAAAATCTTAGGATTAAGTTTTATATTTACTTTTAATAATAGGATGATTATATTGATTTCCTATATTATAGTTCTGTAAAACTGTTTATAATATTGGTTAAATAGCAACAACTTTGACTGTATCTATTAAAGGTCTCAAGTAGAAGCCCTACTTTAAACTTTCAAATCGAGTTTGTTTTTCTCAGAGAAAATGGAAGTTTTTGTTCCTATTTAAGTATCAAAATGATGCTCTTTATAAAAAAGCATTTGTTTATAGTGACAGTTATTTTCATTTTTAGTTTTAAAAGGATAACTTTTCTTAATTCTTTTTAATATTTGAAAGGCTAATCTTTTAATGTGCACAATATACTAGTGTTTTTATTTAAAAATATCGATTAAGTATTTTGAATAATATTTTCTAATTTTCTTTTTTCTTTTTTTTTTTTGAGACGGAGTTTCGCTCGTTACCTAGGCCGGAGTGCAATGGCGCGGTCTCGGCTCACCGCAACCTCCGCCTCCTGGGTTCAAGCAATTCTCCTGCCTCAGCCTCCCGAGTAGCTGGGACTACAGGCACGCGCCACCATGCCCAGCTAATTTTTGTATTTTTAGTAGAGACGGGGTTTCACCATGTTGACCAGGATGGTCTAGCTCTCTGGACCTCGTGATCCACCCGCCTCGGCCTCCCAAAGTGCTGGGATTATAGGTGTGAGCCACCGCGCCCGGTCGGTATTTCCTAATTTTCTAAATAATACTAAAATTTATGAGGACTAATAAAAAAGTCATTGATTAAGTTTTATGCAGCCAAAATTAGAAATAATATTTAAAGGATTTAGAGAAGGTAGTTGTAAAAAGTAGAATATAAGCCCTCCAAAAAGTATATAATAGGTCCACCACGATACCTAGGGAGAGGCTTGATTAAATGAAGCATTATACTCCTAAAGAAATGCAGCAAGAAGGTATTTTGGCATGTTTATTGTTGAAAAGATATTTTATTTATTATACACCTTTAAAAACAAGACACAAACTGTTCTCAGCTAAATGACTGCGATAAGAATGAAATAATGCTTTCTGGGATTGATTTATCGGCAAAATCACCTATGATATGTTCTGGACTTATCTAAAATATTAAAAAGAAGAATATGATTTTTGTTTCATTAGAAGCCCCAAATCACCAGTTAATATTGATAGTGTATAGAATTATTTTGAGTATAGTGACATATACTGATGCTGTATAATCAGTATAATGAATTTGAAATTGAAAATATAGTATTTAATGTTTTAGTTTCAGTTAATGTTTTATAATTGGATTATGTGTATTCAATAAATACCTCTTTGAATTGATAATAGCCATAAAATCAACATCTTATTTGGATATGTGAATTTTATTATAAATAAAACTGATCATTTTGTAATGGCGGTTTTAGATGCAGATTTAATACCTTGATTTAGAAAGTAAAGATTGGAATTGAGGGAAAATTGTTATACTTCTTTTATCTTTCTTTTATTTTTACTTTACCAAAATGAACACAATAAAATTATACTCTCCAGAAAACTAACTGGATTGGTTAATGTTCAGTTTAATTTGTTCCTATAAATAATAATAATAATAATAATTTTTTTTTTTTGAGACAGAGTTTCACTCTTGTTACCCAGGCTGGAGTGCAATGGCGCTATCTCGGCTCACGGCAACCTCCGCCTCCTGGGTTCAGGCAATTCTCCTGCCTCAGCCTCCTGAGTAGCTGGGATTACAGGCACACGCCACCATGCCCAGCTAATTTTTTGTATTTTTAGTAGAGACGGGGTTTCACCATGTTGACCAGGATGGTCTCTATCTCTTGACCTCGTGATCCATCCGCCTCGGCCTCCCAAAGTGCTGGGATTACAGGCGTGAGCCACCGCGCCTGGCGCTGTTCCTATAAATTGACTAAAAACCTGTCTATATATCTGTAAACTGTAAAAGTTTGAATATTATTCGTAGTATAATAAAATTTGAAATTAGATTGAATCTGGGTGAAATGCTTACAGTTGGTAAGCATCCATGTAGATGGAAAATGTAAAACTAGCAAGAGACAAAAAACTAGCAGATGATATGAGGAAAACTCAGGAGTAGAGGCAGGTAATCTGAAGCATTTTTTAGAAAGAATATTAAGAGAGAAATTCAGGCATGTCCCAGCTCTGTGGAGTGGTCAAAGATACTGAAAACAAAACCAACTTCAAAACAACAAACAAACAATACAAAATTGTCAGAGACAAATGAATTAGGCCAAGAGGAAATTGATTAGGTTAAACATATTTTCATTAAGGTGATGGATAGAATTAAGACCAACACTATAATAAAGGATATAATTGGTAGCATCAGTACCAAGAGTAGATGTAGGGGAGATGTGTGAGGAGTTGATTTTATAGAAAAGAAAAGTGGTGAAAAAATAGCAGAGACAGTAGATTTTAATATTATTCTGATACACTGTAAGGGTGGTGATGCAATTAAGCAACAGAAAAGCAATTGAAGCTACCAGAAAGGAAATGGTAGGGTGGGGAATAGAGGTAACATTCAC